CACACACACACACACACACACACACACACACACACACACACAATGTGACTGATGAACAGAACAGCTTGCAGGATGAAAGGAAAAGGACAGTAAAGGTGAACACAGTAAACAGGTACAAACTCACATAAAGAGTTTGATTCTATCAGATTAAAAACTGATTAAAAACAATCTGTTCACAGATACGGAGGACTCAAACTGACAGCTACGAATAAAAGCATAAATATAGAAATGGACAAATAAATAAATAATTACATCTAAAATGCACCAAATAATTTTAATAAGGAGAACTTTACCTCATGTTTTATAATTTAATTGATCTTTATTTTTATTTTTCCAGCTTTATTACAATCTTTTACTTTGTATAAAAGGGTAATTTTTGGACATTATTATTGTTGTTGTTGTCTTGTTATTGTTCTCACTTCAGTCTCTGTTCATGTGCAAAATGTAAAGATAAAGTTAAAATAAAGAATTGTGAAGCTTCAGCGTGCCAGTAAGAAAATCAAAAGCTTTGCAGCATGAGTGACAGATACAGGGAACATTCTGCCTTCTGCTCTTTGTAAATCATGTATTTATTCTTGGTTCCTGTGGGGACGCTCTGTAATTCAACTGATTTCAAGGCTACATCAAAATATTTCACATGCATGACCAAAACTGTTCAGCTGATCTCCTCCTGCAGCCTGTAACTGTACAGTGGGAGGGTTTTCTTTCATGCCTGGTTGTGTGATTTCCAGCTGAGCATAGCACTTTAATTATAGCCTAAACATCAACAGAACTGACAATATGCTACATGGTTCATGTTTTAATTTAAATTTCTATTTTTCTTTTACCCTTTGTGTTACCACACAAAAGAATTTCTGTACCAATAATTCTGGTTGAGGCTTCAGTATATTTCCTTCTGTTCTAAATATCATGTAGTTTGTTTTCTCCAAATTCAGCTAAAACTTCTTTAGATGAAACCAGGTTCATATTTTTCTGCCTTCTGTTTGCATGATCTCCAACATCTGTTAGAGTAGAAAAGGTGGTGTCGTCAGCAAACAAAATAACATTTAAAGCTTTGACACATTGATCAAATCATTTATATACAAAATAAACACTTTTTGTCCAAGCACTGAACCCTGAGGAACTCCACAGCCAACATAACATAATTCAGATTTTACATTATTTACCTGAACAAACCGTTTCCTGTTTTCTAAATAATTAGATACCCACTGTAGTGCTAATCCTCTAACATATTTATTCAGCTTTTCAATAAGGATGGTGTGCTCAGTGGTGTCAAAGGCCTTCTTTTAAGGAACAAGAATACTAACACAATATTGGTTTTGACCAACTGCAGTTGATATCTTTTCCATTAATTCCAATTAGATACGTAGATGGTTATAGATACTTAGATCTATAGATAAGTGGATGGATGGATGGATGGATGGATGGATGGATGGATGGATGTGGAGAAGTGATCATAAGAGAAAAAACACAAAACAGGAAATAGATTTTTGATAGTTACTGTTATTTTCTTTAATTTTGTATATGTGGTCAGAATTATTATTTTTATCTGACAAAACTAAGATTACATGTCTTGTTTTCACTTGTTTTTGCTACTACACTAATTTAAAAGGTGTCTTAAGAAGACAGTTTCCTTTTGTCTCCATAAATTCACATTGTTTAAAACATTCTTTCAATTTTCACGGTATAAAAAACCTTCACGGTTCTTTCACACATTTGTTTTCACAGCTTGTAAATGACCCTGTTAGACTTTTTAATTGTAAAAAAAAAAGAAAAGAAAAAAATCTCAGCCTCTGTATTTAATTAGATTGCTGCTTAGGGCCTTTACTATTTTCTATTTTCACCAATGACCTGCCATCTGTCCTACAGTGCACTAAGGCTATGATGTATGCCGATGACACCACAATATATATGTCAAGTTCTTCTGTAGACACACTGTCCAGCACTCTGGACAGCAAATGGTTGTAAAATGGGTGCAAAGTAATAAATTAGCTTTAAATGTATCTAAAACTAATAGTACAATATTTGGGTCAAACTGGAAACTGAAGGCTCAGCCAAAGTTAGATGTGTCTATAAATCACACAGCCATTACTCAGGTAGAGGAAATTAGCACCATAGACAGCAGACTGGAGTGGTCTCAGCAGATAGAGCAGATACTTTGGATTCTCATTTGACTTATCGTGATCATGTACAAGTCTTAACCACTAAGTTGAAACAGAAATTATACGTTTATTCAAGAATTAGATCCAATCTGACATCTTCTGTTTCAAATATCTATCTTCATGCCATTATACTCTCAACCATGTCGTACTGTTTACCTGTTTGGTCTCTTACAACAAATGAAATCTTAGAACCCATAGTTAGGCTCTACAACAGGGCCTACAAAATTCATAAAAAACTTCCTGGTTGGACTCATCACTGTACAGTTCTTTCATTGTCTGATGCCTTGACTTTTCAGAATTATGTTTTGTATAGTGGTATTAATTTATATTTTCAGATCTTCCAAGGTGCCAATTATGGAACTCTCTGTGCATTGTTGCCCAAATCAAATTCTGGAAGTGGTCATTCAACTAGATCTGTTACAAAAGTACAACTGATATTACCAACTTTTAAAAACTGTTACGGCCAGAGGTCTTTCTTCTATGTTTATACTAAAGCATGGAATGACATTCCTCAAAACATAAAGTCCATTTCAAAACTACAGCCCTTTAAGAAGAATCTTGTCTGCCATCTGCTGGACACTTTTTGTTGTGCTCATATTTAGACGTCCTATTTTGCAAATGCTGCCTTCCTGAAATTTGGTCTGCTTGTTTGTCTTTGTGTCTATGGTGTATAATGATGTGATTGTGATGCTGTAATTCTGAGTGTTTTATGTGCTGCAGAACAGGAACCTGCTGTAAAACAGCAATTATGCTGAGTCAGGCTTGATTTTTAATAATCTTTTCCTGTTGAATCAATAAATCAAATCAAATCAATTCAATCGTTACAGTGATGGGAAGACAACTACTTGTTACAAAAAGATGTTTAAAGTATATACCTTTAAAATTAATTCCTCAAATTGTTAAAGAAGTTGTCTGGTCTCACTTGCAGTATTACCCTATGGTTTGGTCCGGTGCTTCAGAAAAACATCTAACTAAACTGCAATTAGTTCAGAACGGCAGCTTTTTTAAGAAATATTGTAGTATCTAAGATACCAACTGTTTTATTTAATCAACTTTTGTTTAGCCACACTGTACACTTGTTCAGTACTAGATATGCTTTAAATAGTTGTTTTATTCTTTCACAATGCAACAGGAATGCTGGACAAAAGACTTATTTTTTGAGGAATGAGAACATGGAATTCCCTTCCTTCATCATTTTTAAATGTAACAAAGGTTAGAGCTTTTAAAAGAGCATTGTTTAATTATTGTGTCATGTAGGATGTTATAATTGCACATTTATGAATTAATATACTATGTCACTAACGTTATATTAAGTGCATGTAACTGTAATTGTTTTTGTAATGTTTGTTTTGCCTTTTTTTTAAGGACCCCAGGAAGAGTAGCCATTTTTAAGGCAATGGCTAATGGGGATCCAAATAAATAAATAAAAAAATCTACTAGGAGAACAGACTGGTTGATCCACTGATGGCTGAAGATCAGTAAAATCCAACATGTGACAACAGTTGGTTTGATGCCTTCTGGGGCATTAGAACAGGATGGGTTCATATCTTTCTATAGTTAAAATGAGRCTGAGGACTATCACCGATCTGTAGTCTTTCCTTAAGCTGGTTTATAGTCGATGCATTGCACATGGTGCAAGGGTGGGCGCACCAACAGTGACACAACTGCCCTGTCCCCGTCCCTGCATGTTGGTCTCACACGTTACCTACAGGGATCATGCACCTGCATGGGCCACACACACCGTGCTCCATTCAAATAGTTTGTCGAATTTTTGCTCTCCTATTTACAACTTTTCATGTATTCCAGTTATAAAGTGTACATGTACACATGTTCTTATGGAGAATACTAGAATAATGTAAGCATCAGGTATAAACACTACTGGCAAGGGTGTGTGCATGTGGCCTGCACGAGGACCCAAAGCACGACTATAACCGAGCCCTTAGACTCTGTCCAGTTTGGAGGTGAGGTGTCATTAAGCTCCTCTGTGTGTGTGACATGGATTCAAATTGAATCATTGCTACAGACAGAAGGAAACAAAGCACATTATCAGATTCCAGCCCACTGACAGTCAACAGACATTAGGAAGCTGATAGGAAAAATAGAAAGGAAGCACAGATAACAAATTCATTTCAACAGAAACTCTCTTAACAGTGAAGTGTTTCCCACCTCATTTAAAATCCCACAAAGAAAAACTTCTACAATCCAGCCATCATGTCCTCAGACTGCAGCAGAACAACTTGACACAATCAAGTGAAGTCTGCAAAGAGTTTCAATTCAATGACAAATATCTTGAATGTTTTAAGCGTTAAATCTATAAAATGTTTAATCAGTAAAGTGTTGGTGCTGATACAAGCTGGCTTTGAAAGGAGGAAAATCTCTTCATACTTTTTCTGTTTAACCTGGAACAAACATTTGCTGATTTTTCACTKAAGATTGTCCATTTTCTTATAAAAACCTACGTCCAAGAACAAAAGGACACTCAAAATGTTTTCTGAAATACTTTAATAACTTCACAGTAATGGTCAGCCCAGGAAACTTCTTGTTTTTGAAGAAGAGAACCACCTAAATGTTGAACCTCTGAAGTTTGTCTTGTTTGTCCTGCAGGTTACGCTCCGGTTACAGGAATGTGTCACCCTGTCCGGAGCTGCACCCTGAACCATGAAGACGGCTTCTCTTCTGCCTTTGTTGTGGCTCATGAGACAGGACATGTGTAGGGGACACACACACACACACACACACACGCACACACACACGCACACACACACACACACACGCACACACACACACGCACACACACACACAGGGTCTAGACAGCTGTCTTTATGGGGACATTGCATTGATTCTCATTCATTTCCATAACCTAAACCTGACCCCTACCCTAAGCTAAACTCACACCTGAAATGTGTTCTATAATTATTGCCAACCCAATCTGTTGGACAAACAGAACACGTTTTGTAGTTAATATTCACTGTAATAAAGAAATCAAATTAAAAACATTTAGATGAATGTTATCTATAAAAGTACAAAGAGGGGATTAGGAGCTAAAACGTTATTATCATAAAAGATTTTTATTTCCTCCCAGTTCATCATGATCTTCATTAATGTTTTATTATTAAAACAAAGAATATACTTTTAAAACGGACTGTTTAGTAAAACATCTGTTCATTAAATATCATAAGCTGAAAAAAATTAAAGGTTTTTGTACTTTTTTTACTGTTTGTTTGTTGGGAGGCAGTTTGGGCATGGAACATGATGGCCAAGGGAACCGATGCAGCGATGAGACGGCGATGGGGAGCGTGATGGCACCACTAGTTCAGGCAGCCTTCCACCGGTACCACTGGTCCATGTGCAGCGGTCAGGAGCTGAGGAGATACATCCAGTCAGTTCACACCTACTGATTTTTACTGGAGCTTTAAGAGGAAAGTTTCAACTGATTTTAAATATTATTCATCACCTGCAGACAAATCATCTGATCGTAGGATAATTAAGCCACAAACTTAATTCTTTTAATATCTTTTACTCTATATTTTGACATGTAAAACCTCATTTTTAAGAACTGAGGTTTAAAGGTATTTAAATACTTCTCCATCTCCTTCTGCTTATCTGTAGTCAGGTCAATGAGGCAACAGGTCCACGAGAGAAAACTAGACTTTCCTCTCCCCAGTGACACTTTCCAGCTTGTCCTAGGGCACCCCAAGGTGTTCTCAGACAAGAGAGGATACATATTCCTTTCAATGAGTCCTGGGTCTTCCCCAGGGCCTCCTACCAGTGGGACGTGGCCAGAATACCTCTAAAGGGAAACGTCCAGGAGGCATCCTGATCAGATGAGCCACCTCAACTGACTCCTTTCAATGTGGAGGAGCAGCGGCTCTATTCCAAGCTCCCCCCGGATGATGGAGCTCCCCCCTCTCTCTAAGGCTGAGTGCGGCCACCGTATGAGAGAAGCTCATTTCAGTCGTTTGTATCCAGGATCTTGTTCTTTTGGTATGATCCACGCCTCATGACCACAGGTGAAGGTTGGAATGTAGACATACCAGTAAACCCAGAGCTTTGCCTTTTGACTCAGCTCTATCTTCACCATGACTGACCGAATCAACGTTCTTATTACTGAGGATGAGGCATCAATCCGTCAATCCATCTCCCGCTCCATCCTACCATCACTCAGGAACAAGACACCTAGCTACTCTCACTCAACCCGACACTATGGTAACAACTTGTTTTTAAAATGTGCTTTATAAATAGATTTGACTTGACCCAAAGGGGAATTCCACCCATTTCTGGTCGAGAACCATGGCCTTAGACTTAGAGGAACTGACTCTCATCCCAMCTACTTCACACTCGGCTGTGAACCACACCACTGCCCGTGGAAGGTCTTGGCCTGAAGACACCAACAGAACCACATCAACTGCATATAGCAGAGACAAGACTTTGTGCTTTCCAAACTAGACACCCTCCTCTCCACGACTTCACCTTGAGATCCTGTCCATAAATACACATAAACAGGATTGGAGACAAGGGACAGCTCTGGTGGAGTCAAACCTTCACTGAGAACAAGCTTGTATTTGTTTCATGAACAAGAACACAGCCCCTGCTTAGGTTCTACAGTGACTGGACCACACAACCCAGACACTCCATACTCCTGCAACATCCCTCACAGAATTCTTTGAGGAACATGGTCAAAAACTTTCTCCAAGTCTGCAAAACACATGTAGACTGGAGAGACAACCTCCCGTGACCCCCTAGCAACTCTCCAAGGGTAAAGATCTGGTCCACTGTTCTACAACCAGGGCGGAGGCCACTCTGCTCATCTTAAATTCAAAGTTCAACAATCGATCTGAGCCTCCCTTCCAACACCCTGGGATAAACCTTCCCGGGAGGGCGAGAAGTGTGATCCCATGATAGTTAGAACACACTCTCTGGTCCCCCTTTTTTTAAATGGAAGCTACCACCCTGGTCTGCCACTTCACAGGAGTTGTCCTAGTCCTCCATGCAAAATTGAAGAGACATGTCAAACATGACAGCTCCACAACATCCAGAGCCTTCAGCATCTTGGGGTGAATCTCATCCACCCCTGGAGCCCTGTCACAGAGTTTTTGACTACTTCAATGTTCCTTCCACTGTTCAAAAATATCCTCAGTCTGGATCAGTTTCCTCCCCCAAACCATATACAGTCTGGGACAGGGAATGCTTTTCTTTTCTAAGTCACCAAACAGTTTGTCAGAACTTCTACGTGGCCAACTAAAAGTCCTTCTCCATGGCCTACCTGAATTCCTCCCATGCCTGAGTTTTTTCATCTGCAACTACCGAAGCTGCAACCCTCTTTGCCACACTGTACCTGTCAGCTGCTTCAGGAGTCCTCCTGGAAAGCCAAGTCCTGAAGGCCACCTTCTTCAGCCTGATGGCCCCCATCACCACTGGTATCCACCAGTTGGTGGATTGGTGGCTGCCACGACAGGCACCAATGACCTTCAGGCCACAGTTTCTAGAAGCAGCATCTGCAATGGAAGCCCTAAACATGACCCATTTAGTTTCCATGTCCCCGACCTCCCCGAGACATGTGAAAAACTCTCCTGGAGGTGAGACTTGAAGATCACAACGACAGGAGGCTCTGCCAAACATCCCAGTTCATCCTCATTATATGTTCAGGTTTACCAGGTCTGTCTGGCTGCCTCCCCCACCACCAGATGTAACTAACCACAAAGTGGTGATTAGTTGAGAGCTCTGCCCCTCTTTTCACCTGAGTGTCCAACACATAGCGCCACAGGTATGACAACATGATTACAAAATCGATCATCAACCTTTGGCCTAAAGTGGTCTGGTACCAAATAAATGGTAAATGGACTGAACTTATAGAGCGCTTTATCAAGTCCCTCTGGACCCCAAAGCGCTTTACACTTATAGACATTCACCCATTCACACTCACATTCACACACTGATGATGGTAAGCTACATTGTAGCCACAGCTGCCCCGGGGCAGGCTGACAGAGGTGGGGCTGCCATGCACCAGGACCACGGACCCTCTGACCACCATCAGTAGGCAAGACAGGTGAAGTGTCTTGCCCAAGGACACAACAACTGAAATGGCTGGACAGAGGATCGAATTGGTAACTTTCCGGTTCCAGGACGACTCCCTGGTTGGTCCGTATGGACCAACCTATCATGGTGTTTGCTGTATGGAGACCAATAACAGAGCACCATTCAGGTTCAGATCAGGGAGGCCACTCCTCCCAATCACCTTCCAGATAACTCCATCATTGCCCACATGGGCAATGAAGTCACCCAGCAGAACAAGGGAGTCTCCAAACGGCACCCCTTCCAGGGCACCATCCAAGGACTGCAAAAAGGCTGATTAATTTGAACTGATGTTTGGTGCATGAGCACAAACCACAGTCAGAACCTTCCCTCCTGCAGCATGAAGCTGCAGAGAAGCAACCCTCTTGTCCACCGGAGTGAACTCCAATACTGAAGTACACAGCTGGGGGCTTGTGAGTATCCCCACACCCACCTGTCGCCTCTCTCCCTGGTCAACTCCAGAGTAGGAGAAAGTCCAGCCTTTCTCCAGGAGTTGGGTTCCAGTTGAGGTGAGCTCAACTATATCTAACTGGTTGCACTCAACCTCACGCACAAAGTCAGGCTCCTTTCCCATGAGTGAGATTACAGTCCATGTCCCTAGAGACAGTCTGTGCTGCCAGGAATTGGCATGGTCATGGACCCTCCTTCGCCTGCTGCCTGGCATGCATTTCAACCAACCTTAATGGTCCTCCCCACAGGTGGTGGGTCCACGTGGAGGTGGCCTCCCGAAGTACTTTCGGGATTGGTCCGGTCGAGCCCCAGGACCCAAGGCTTGACCACCAGGTGCTTGCCGGAAAGCCCCCCCAGGCCTGGTTCCAGGGAGGTGCCCCGATTTCCTGTTTCCGGGCAAGGTTTCTTGATGTGGTTAATGTTCCATTTCATCAAGGGCTGTTGAATTGCTTGTAGTCTGACCCCTCACCTGAAGCCTGTTTGCCAGGGGAGACCCTACCAGGGGCTAATGCCCCAGACAACGTAATCCCCAGGATAATGGGGGTACTCAAACTCATCCACCACATTAAGTTAGCAATTCTGCAGAGGTGTATTTAAATAGTACCAGGTTATTTTCATAAAGCGTTTGTTTTTAGAAAACACCTGCTGATCCCAAGTAGTCTACTAATGTTGTAGTTAAGCTAAACTCCAAATTATTAATCTAATTGAGTTTTTATCTGTTTGAACTTCAAACAGTTTACTTTTTTGTGAAACATGTTAAGCTTTAATAAATTTTTTGCTATTTTTCATATTAACTAAATAAAACATCAAACATTTGAAATTTTATAAAACTGTAATTTTACCCTTTGCTCACTCTGAAAGTCAGAGAGTCTGAGAGTTAGATACAGGGTCTGAGGGTCAGATTTACAGGATCTGATGGTCAGATACAGGGTCTGATGGTCAGATACAGGGTCTGAGGGTCAGATTTATAGGGTCTGAGGGTCAGATTTACAGGGTCTGAGGGTCAGAAACAGGATCTGATGGTCAGATACAGGATCCGATGGTCAGATACAGGGTCTGATGGTCAGATACAGGATCTGATGGTCAGATACAGGGTCTGATGGTCAGATACAGGATCTGATGGTCAGATAGAGGGTCTGAGGATCAGATACAGATGATGGTTAGATTTACAAGGTCTGAGGGTCAGATTTATAGGGTCTGAGGATCAGATTTACAGGGTTTGAGGGTCAGAAACAGGATCTGATGGTCAGATACAGGATCTGATGGTCAGATACAGATGATGGTTAGATTTACAGGGTCTGAGGGTCAGATTTATAGGGTCTGAGGGTCAGATACAGATGATGGTTAGATTTACAGGGTCTGAGGGTCAGATACAGATGATGGTTAGATTTACAGGGTCTGAGGGTCAGATTTATAGGGTCTGAGGGTCAGATTTATAGGGTCTGAGGGTCAGATACAGATGATGGTTAGATTTACAGGGTCTGAGGGTCAGATACAGGGTCTGAGGGTCAGAAACAGGATCTGATGGTCAGATACAGGATCTGATGGTCAGATACAGGGTCTGATGGTCAGATACAGGATCTGAGGGTCAGATTTACAGGGTTTGATGGTCAGAAACAGGGTCTGAGGGTCAGATTTACAGGGTCTGATGGTCAGATACAGGGTCTGATGGTCAGATACAGGGTCTGATGGTCAGATACAGGATCTGATGGTCAGATACAGGATCTGAGGGTCAGATACAGATGATGGTTAGATTTACAGGGTCTGAGGGTCAGATTTATAGGGTCTGAGGGTCAGATTTACAGGGTCTGAGGGTCAGAAACAGGGTCTGATGGTCAGAAACAGGATCTGATGGTCAGATACAGGGTCTGATGGTCAGATACAGGGTCTGATGGTCAGATACAGGGTCTGATGGTCAGATAGAGGGTCTGAGAGACAGTTGCAGGGTGTGAGTGTAAAATCTATAAATTTACTGAAAAAAATGACAAAGTAGTCTAAAGTTAAATGAAAAGTCTCGTGGAAGCTGTTGTGGTTTAGTTCCTGTTGAATTTACAGCCAAGTCATTGATTGAAGCTGTGGTGGTTTCTGCTCAGAACCTACGATTGTCTCATGGATGATCCCTTCAAACATGACTGGCCACAACTTCCTGAACTTCCTGGGATCAACTACTCCATGGATGAGCAGTGCCGCTTTGACTTCGGAATTGGTTATAAGATCTGCACTTCAGTGAGTAAATGTCATGTTTCCAGGCTGTGTAACTAAAACTGTTTCATCTCTGGTGTGTTCAGCTGCTGTCACTGAGCTGAGAGGAATAAACCATTTTCAGAAACATGAACACATCTTAACAAGCTTCAGACTCTGGTCAGGAGCAGAATGACACACATTTACAAGTACTTCCTACAGAAATGATCCCAGTTTTTAGTTGATGCTTATCAGTAGAAAAATGACTGCCTTTTCTTATTTTCATCAAAAATCTCCTTTCTTCTGGACAAAGCTACGTAATCAGGCAACACAGCTTCAAGTTATGAGTGTTACATATCCACAGGCTGTGGTGATTTCACTAAGACTGGATCGTTAACAAATGCTCAGAAACAACAAATCTGAGGCATGAAAAGAAAGTGTGAAATCCTCTCCCCCGCATGTGGAGCCCAGCCTGGTCTGACCTTTAACCTTTCCCATCTTCTTTTCTGTTGATGTTCTTTCATTTTTGCAACATTCAGTGATTTTGAACATTCTGAAAGATATTCTGCTGTTAAAGAACTTCCGGCACACAAACATCAACCTGAGTCTGACAGGATGTTATTTCCTTTAGCTGACAGTTCACTGACAGTAAAAGCTTCTTTACAGCCAGTCTAAGCAGATCAGAACCCAGAAGAAACTCCGTGAGTTCATCTGGTTCTAATTGTCTGAACAGAGGAGAAGGAGGCAGCAGGATGTGTTCAGAGAGTCTCATTYTTCTCTGCAGGATTTCCATGCCGACATCTTTTAATTCTCTCCATCAAGTGCTAAGAAATGGAGCAGTGCTTTCTGAGAACCAAACACTGTGATTGGATGATTGATGTCATCAGGAAAGCACCAGACTTCAGAGGGCCAACGAGTGGGATTTAGGTTCTGAAAGAAGAGCTGGATTTACTTGGAAATGTTTTAATGAACATTAAGTGATACTTAAGTCAGAAAAAGGAGCTGCTTCCTGCACATTAATGTTCAAATCTTGTTTCTATGGACATCAGTTGAAGCCAAACTCACAACCCAAACAATGTGTTTCTGACCTACATGAGTGCAGCTGGGCTGCAGGGTGATCACTGATGAACCGTTGGAGCAATAGTACAAACAAACTAGCTGTCAAATAAAGAATGCTGCCTGACCTGCTTGACTCACYTTTACCTACCTGTACCTTTGGTTTTCTTGGTTTTTTCTCTTTCAGTTTCGGACGTTTGACCCGTGCAAACAACTTTGGTGCAGTCACCCAGACAACCCGTACTTCTGCAAAACCAAGAAGGGTCCTCCTCTGGATGGGACAGAGTGTGCTCCAGGAAAAGTGTGTTTGTTTGCACATCGTTATTATATCACCGCTCATCCCACTATTCTCACCTTCATGCATGTGACCAAAACATCTGTCTGTGAACCAGGCAAACAAAGACCCTAATGACCCTCTGGAGYGYGGGGAGGGAGCTGAATATGCAGGAGAATGTAGCTCATGTAGATTATTTAAAGGTTGGAGCTCTCCAGATGAGAAATGAAATATCTTCAGCTACATTTGTTTAGATTCATCAGGTCCTGGATGGCTGAGAATCTACACCCAAAATCAGATAAAGATGAACATTAACCCCAACAATTCAAACCAGCCTGGCAGCCAAATGCTGTACGTTAGATTATCTGGTTGTTTTTATTCTAACATTGTATCTTAGTTGACCATCTGTCCTTGTTTTGTCTCTTTTAATCTGTGCAGTGGTGCTACAAAGGTCACTGCATGTGGAAAAACCCAAARCAGCTGAAGCAGGATGGAGCGTGGGGTTCCTGGACTAAATATGGTTCCTGCTCTCGCTCTTGTGGAACTGGTGTTCGCTTCAGGACTCGGCAGTGCAACAACCCAGCGTAAGGACAGAAAGTGACTTTAGTTTTAGTTTAGTTTAACAGAGGATCCATTTTCCAATGTAAACAACAAAAAACAGGATTTCATTTTCATTTATTCAACCTTTATTTAAACTGGAAGTCCCCTTGAGATTAAAAACCTCTTTTTCAAGAGAGACCTGACCAAGACAGGCAGCTGAAAATACGACACACACTGTAGTTTCCACAGCACAGAAACACATTCAAATTAAAACATCAAATAGAAAGGCATTAAAAATAAATATTAAAACAAATTAAGAATAACAGGTGCAAGTTATGGAGTTTATCCCAAGTCCTTTCAATTTTGATTTAAAAGACCTCAGTTCGTTTCCAGTCTTTCTGCAGTGTATTCCATGTAGAAGGTGCAGGATTGACAACAGCCTTTTTCCCAATTCAGCCCAGTCAAAGTGAACAGAAAGCATCAAATAGCCTGAGAGTGGATGGAGTAAGAGCCAGTACTTCTCTGTTTAGTTAGAATACAAATATGAGAAAGTCCACATATTGCCTTGTCTATCAATGCATATCACAAAGGCAGAGCCTTCGAAACTAAACATCTAACAACTGAAACATGCAACCTTCAGTTTATCTCAGAGTAGCACCAACAATCAAGATGGAAACCTTTAGAAAACACTGATGGAGATGAAACAGAATGACACACATTGGTTTTTCTATCCCTGTGAAGACTTTGCAGTGATTTCCATTCATTTTCCAGTCATTTCTATAGCCCAATCTTGACCCTAAACCTTGGTACTAAACAGAAACCCCAACCCAAAATTGGGACCTGTACCCGTGGGGTCCGTAAGAAGCATTGTAGCCGACGTTGCTTTCAGAATGTTAATTTCAGTAACCTCCAACTGACGTAACCGAGTGTCATTTCCACCAACGTGAATCACAATCTTATGGTACCTAGCATTAGCATTAGCCAGTAGTTTCAGATAGGATTCTAAGTCTCCCACTCTGGCTCCTGGAATACATTTAATCATGGTTGTTGGAGTCCCTAAATCTACGTTTCGGACTATGGAGCTGCCAATAACCAGGGTCTGTTTCTCGATCGGAGTGTCGCTGAGTGAGGAGAAGTGATTAAAAATATCAACGGYTTGARGGTRGGYAAGTTTGGCTTTAACACTGGGCTTTTTCRGAGCAGTCACCCAGCTAGCTCAGGGCGGTGGCCTCACAGGCTCTACCGAGGGACCGCTAACAGAAGAGGCTTCTCTTGGCGGCTCCATGCTAGCCTGGCTAGCTGTTGGCTTCTCAACAACACGAAGCTGAGCTTCTAATTCAGAKAGCCRRYCCTCTAAATCTGCCATAAGACCACATTTAATACGAATGTTGCCTTCACCAAAGGAGGCAGGGTAGGAACTAAACATCTCACAGACAGAGCAAGTGAGGAAAGACGAGYTCGGAGAAGAAGCAGCCATGATGCTAAGCAAACGTTAGCGAGGGCTACAAGATCCCGAAATACACGAATAAAACCAAGAAGTGTTGAAAAATAAAAGATGTTTTAAGCACAGTCCCAATAAGAACAAACTATATCAAAGGTGATTTAGGACTAGAAGTAGAACCGTGCAAAGGTAGATAATCCAGTGAGTTGAAGAAATTCTCCAAACAAACAAACAAATTGCGAAGCACCAGCAGCAAAGCAGAAAATGATACAATACGTTACCCCACGRCTATCCTCACCCTGTCTCCTGAACACAGGAGCAGGTGTACGGAGGAAAACAGCTAGGTAGCAGCTCTAAAGTTTGTGTGCTTGTTAACGGAGCAGTCTTTCACTGTCAGCTTTCAGCTCCTCTTGTTCTGCCTTAGAGTCTTAACTCATACATTAAAAGCTAGAAACATAAACAGGTAAGCATGCAAAATTTTGAGGTTTTAGAATCTTGTAGTTTTTGCACAGCAACTTTTCTGTCTGCCTCTCTTTAACTTGCCAGCCAGGGAGTGACAGACACAAGTGGCTCCCATAAGGAGCATTTGGTCCCTGTGAGGTTGCATTTACCTTTTTAATTTTTTTTGAGGATGCATTTTCCTAAATAAAATCGTCCCCACCAAGTAGCAAAAATGGACACACACACACACACACACACACACACACACAC